CCCCAAAACCCCAAAACCCCAAAACCCCAAAACCCCTCACATTTATCATAATATGGAACATAAATTTGGACTTGACGATGAGCCTGAGAGGGACAAAGGCTTCATCATCAGAATTGAAAGCCCCCAGCTCCTAGAGGATATTTACAAGTTGATGGACCATTGTGACCTGTTTGATGAGGAGCTGGATGACGAACTTGATATCACATTTGAGTGGCTCTGTTTTGATCCAGATAAACACCATTATGGTATGCTAGTTATGGACTGAGGGACCCATGGCTGAAAAATTGGCAATAAGATGTACCATGCAACTCTCTGTGAACTCCCTAATATCTCAGAAAGTTTTAATACTGGAGATTATGTAAGTAATGTTTAAAATTGCAAATTTTAGTTAACCTTCACTCTTTAGTCATTGTTGTATAAAAGGTAAAGTTGTTGGTTAAATATTAGCTCTGATATTGCTCAGGTAATGTATGTTCATTCAGACTACATTGAAATTCCTTCAGTTGATGGCAAACAGCCAGATTTGGACGATGCCTTCAAATTTATTGAAAATCTAGAAAGCCATCAGAAACTAACTTTCGATCCACTTAAAAATAAGAAATTCTATGACTCATTAGTAGACCCATCAGAATGATATGAGAATATGTTTCTCCTGAAAGATGGGCTAACAAAGTGCACCAAAGACACTTACCTCAAGGACTTTTCTACAGACAGGAGCAAATATAGGGATGATATAATCAAGGTCCAGAAAATACTGAATAAGTCTATCAAGAAGCATTTTAATGTAGCAGCTTTCCTTAACCTATAGTATTCTCACGTCGATGTTCAAGAGAGCTTATTGGTATTTAACCCACAAGGAAACCTAGGTAATACAGTGGTAATGTGTAATATAGTTGATGAGATAAAACTCGAAGGTAAAGATCTAAACGAATAGTCTCAGGAAAATAAGATTTTACACCATCTGGACTTACCAATATAGATTGTCTACGAAGACTCGGCTTTGTGGCACTTTACTTCTTCTTACTTAAATTTACTTTTTCAATAGGTGATTGTTCTACACAGTCAAACGGAGACTCAGTACACTGCTTTTAATCTTTAGGACCAGCTTCTGTTCAATTTCAAGGGTGAAAAGATCGATTCCCAAATCAGTGAGAGCAATTCAGATGATGAAACTCCCTCTAAAGCTTCAAGAACTGTTAAGTCTTCCAGTAGGAGTAAGAGTAAGAAGAAATAAGTCTGAGTAAAATATTTGAATTATGTAAACTTTGTGTTTAAATCTCACTAACTGTCATTGAGTTTCAACAGATTTTACTCACAAAGGGGTTTTGGGGTTTTGGGGTTTTGGGGTTTTGGGG